TAGCAAGACATGGCCTTTTGAAATGAGCAATACAATTTACAACTTATATCAATATAAAATGTATGAAATAGACCCTAACAGACACTAGCTGCAAAATCATGTGGGCACCACAGATAACACTTCCAGGCCATCTGTGTAAACCAGCAAGTTCAGTTCTTCTTTGAAGCAGTCAAACACAAACGTTCTTCCAACTTGGATGACAGAATACACAATTGGCTATTTGAACAAGAAAGAGTCCAACTTACAGAAATTCAAATATCAACAGAATGTCCAAGAAAGAATTACAAGCCGTGCTGTTTAACACCAACAAATGCCACAGCATTTGAAATAAATTATAGATTATACAATTAAGGGTTAAAAATTACTGCTCAATAGCTCCAGACTGTTTACACGAGGGCAATGCTCACCCATATTTAAAACAGTTCAATAAAGCAAATGCAACTCAAGGAGTTAATAAAACGAATCAAAAAATGCTTCGTAAACCACATGAAAAACACCCTCTCACAAACTGGACACAGGAGACACCAAAAGAGGACAAAGACTGAACCACAAAGACGATGAAGTGAATATATGGGTACAACCATCCTCAAACTTCAAAAATCATGTCGTCGTTGGACGACACCAACAGTGACTCATCACATAAAACTAGTCAGAGTAAATTTGTCTCAGGATAAAACCAATTAAAAGTTACAAATTAGTCGTCTTTTCACTTTTGAGTGTCTCCTTCAATAAGTCAAATTAACTAAAAAACAACAAGTGGATTTCTCCTGGTTTTTGTTTTGTGTACCTGTCCTCCTGTCTTCTCATTTTCTATGCTCCCTTCTTTACCTTCATTTCTTTTGTACCTGTCATCTCCTCCTTTTGTTTCTCTCCTCTCCTTCCTCTCTAATCACATCTTCTTACTTCCAGGCTTGAGATGTCAGGTGCCCAAGAGTCAGCTGGAGGACTGAACACAATAATTAAACTAACAAAGGCGAGGCTAAGCTCAGCCTGTGTGTGTGTGTGTGTGTGTGCGTGTCCTAATACATGTCTGTGCATGCCCATCTGAAGTAAACTGTCACTTTGAATCTGAGTGTGTTAGGTGGGTGTTGTCCATGTTAATTGCTGCCACTTCAGAACATGCGTGTGCATTTATGTCTTCACGTTTCCATACATGTGAATATGTATGTGTGTGCTTGATGAGGCTGTCGAGAGTGAAAACGTGTTTCTTGCTCAAAACAGATCGATCATTCGAGACAGGAGAGACAACAGGTAAACTATGTGCACTCATGTTTGCTTAAGACTTTGTGTGTGCGAGTTTAAGAGGGTGACTTTGTGTTGGTTTGTGCGTCTGTATAATGTGAATAAAGACAGATACTGTGCTTTGAGTGTGTCCCTGTCGACTTTGCTTGTCTATGTGGAAATATGGCCATGGTAAAATATTAACACATCTCTTCTGAGTCACTACAGAGTCAGACAGACACTGAAAAATCAAACAGATGAACAACACAGCAGAAACTAAGGAGGATAAAGTGAGAAAGAAAACTAAGAAACTTTAAACTAGAGAGTTTCCAGAAGAAAATTAATGAAACAATAAATGCAGATTCAAATCAGTGTTGTTTGCTTGAAGAAGAAGCAGTGTGACTTATATGTGAAATTACACTTTTTGTGTTGTATCACTGACAAATCCAATTTTCTCAACCTTACTTATATTCTGTCTATTTCAGAATCACTTTTATTTGTCATTAAGCGGTATTAAGCTGGACAGGAACCATGGTCTTTAACATGCACCGGGTTTGCTGGAGTAAGTCTCTCATTCTTCCCCACTACTCTGCCCTCTCCTCTTGTGTCTCTTTCTTCTTTCATTCATCCTCATGCTGCATGTTACACAAGCCATCTGACCTACTTAAGATGTTCTGCATTACCTCTACATCAGTAAAAGTGGAGGTGAGCAGAGCTAAGAAATATACCAAGCTCACAAAGTATCTGTTCCTTTAAAGCATCTATCTTTACAGACAGAGTAAGATCAATAAATCATAACAGTAACCAAAGCTCTTCAAACAATGCTCTTTCAGATAATACGGCCAAGTAACAGAACTGAAACTAATTCAAGCGCCTTTTTAAGAGTTTTGGCAAAAACACATGGAAATAAACCCTGGTGTCATGGTATGAAAGCTATAAACTCAATATACCATGGTCCATGCAGTGCTATAAAACTTTCAGATCTGGAAGCAGCTATTTTAGGAAAAGCAAGGTGCTAAATCATTAACCATTTGTTATTGTACTACCTTTTTATTTGGTATTAAAATTAACTAATATTAAAAAAGACTCAGATTGTCTGACTTAGCCCTTGAACTAGAATAAACTTTTTTTTTTAAATCTTTTTTACAGTTATTGTAAAACCTAAATCCTGGCCATGACCTTTTAAGTACAGTTAATGTTATTACCAGTTTTGTGGGACAGTGCTCATTCAAGATTAAAGCATTTCGCAGAAGCCACGTTTCTGTTTCGAGCTCAGTGGCAGATGTGATTCTGAGACACTTGTTAAAATGGTTCTTTTATCAGGAAGATCATAAAAAGGGCTGTCAAACATTAACAACCAACAGTTTTTTTATATTACTCTACATTGTTATGATGGTTACGCAATATGTTATGCGCAGATGTATATATCCAAGGTCGCTTGTGAACTCACACACAGCTCCAGAGACAAGTGACACCCAGAAGTGTTAGTGCAGCGCTGTAGCCAGAGCAACACAGAACTAAAAACGTTAGGGAAGTCTTTAAATCTACGGAAAGCTCAGGCAGAATTGTCTGCTAACCTCATCATGTTTCAGTAAATTAAAAGTAGCGTATGATCACTTTGTGGGATTTGTTCAAATGTGACCTATATATTCATATGACTCACTGGTACACAAACAACAGGACAGCAGTAGGCAGGATAGACCCTGTTTTATCAGCATGCGGATGAAGCCGAGTCATAGCATTACAGTGCTTGATCAGCATGGTCATTACCACAGCTTCTATAGTGAAGGATCAACATTCTGCAGGTGTAGAAAATAATGAATGGAACTTATGCCTACCTCCACCAGTCATTTCACAAGCACTACCTTGGTGCACACTGCAGGACCTTGAGATTCAGGTGCATACCAACATATACAAACCTGAGCTGAAGTTTTTGCACTTCCCACTGATACAGGTCATTTTCTTTGACTCTCTCACCTCTGAACTTATATATATTCTCTTTCTGCTTTTTAAAGGAATAATATGGTAACACCTTTAAGATGGCGTGTTTTTCGGTAAACCGAAGGCTAACACATCCAAATCTTTCACAAAATTGAATTAGCTCCACCAGGGAGCTTATGTTTAACCCCTGTCTGTTGATTTGTTTGGTTATCAGCAGGATTTGATCTTAACTACAGGACAGATTTTTCACGAAACTTGGTGGAAGGATAGAACGTGGGGCAGGAAAGAACCCAGGAGATAAAGGGTGGATCGACTCAAAGGGGCGGATGCAGGGATTTTTTTTTAATCACTTTTTTAAACATTGTGAGTTAGGGCAATATTTTCACCAATTTCACAGGGAATAATTCATGGATCCGGACGAAGGTTCATAAATGAATTTATGCGACTGATATGTGTGTGTGTCTATACTGCTTGATTTATTTAAGTCGACTGAAGTGTATGGACTGTACTTGGTACCAAAAACTTTTGATTATTCAACTCCAGTGCAATGGGAGTTATCCAACTTTACTTTCAGTGTTTTCTTTACCTAGCATCAGTAAATCTGGGATTTGGGAGTATTATGTTTGCTCACAAAGTTAGCAGAGTCCTCTAAAAGGCATTCTCCAGCCTCTATTCTTTCCAAAACCAACTGAACTGGTCCTGTTAGGGTATAAGCCTCTTTAAAAGCCAGAGAAAATCCTGCTTTTTGTGCCGAAATTCTTGTGTTGGGTCAGAGCCCTGAATACCGAAACAAAAACGGTACAACAAACCAGACCATTTTGCTCTCAGCAAACTGAGCCACAAAAAAAAATCTACAGCACGTATAAAATAATTATAACTCTCAACCTTTTGAGTTTCTAAGTAGCACGGTACCATGGTCCACACACTTCTACACAAATGTGGCCCTGCTACTGCCAGGCTCAACACATGAGTTTTATCAGACGGATGAGGACAATGACACAGGAAAATAAGTGAACTCAATGTTCCAAAACCAGCGCCTCGTCTGCTAACTGACCCTAAAAGGCCTCTGTAGCGAGGATTTGGTCAGTAATGGAACAGTCTAGAATAGCTGCCTGTCCGTCTCTGTGTCTTAATCCCAGCTATCATGCTTGAAGGCCCCCTGCTCAACAATGAGGGACATTGTTAGGAGGGAAAGTTGAGACTTTCCTTTTAAGAAAGAAAACAGGAAGGCCAACTTGAGGTCCACATGAAAAAGAGGACAGAGGAGACTCAATTAAAAATCAAGACAACATAAAGCTCTGTTAAGAATCATTTGCTCTTTGTTGACAAATCTTCAAAGTCATAGGTCTCAAACACAAATGTCAAGTTTTGATCATATTTCATCATCTTACCGGAATTCAACATATCCCAGTCACACATTCTTGCCACACAAAGACATTAGCTAAAACATTGTAAAAAATAAATGAATGCTTTACAATGAGAAAAACATTAAGAGCCAAAGGGGATAAAGATAAACTAAAAA